AGGGGACCCCAGGGAAGGGGGACCCTGAGGAAGTGGGGACCCCGGGGATACTGCGCGGTGGGAACTCGGGGCGACGGGGACCCCAACTTCCCCTAGACTGCGGGAGTCGCCCCCACCCCCGGCCGTCTCTCCTGCTGGGTTGGGGGCGTGTCCCGTCCCGCGTGGCAGCCTCGGCCCCTCTGCACCCGACACCGGCGCAGTCAGGCTGGCGGGGAGCCGGCGGGGTGGGGGCTGGAGGCCTCGCGAGGAACCAGGAACCGCTTCCCTCCGCCGAGGGCTGGGAATGTTTTATTGATGAGCCGCCTGGCTTCGGGCGCCCTGAGCTCGGCATCAAAGCGGCTTCGCGACCGCAGAGGGCGACCCGGACCGGGAGGAGGGCGCGGGTGCTGGTCAAGAAGCCGACTCAGTCCCCCTGGGGACACGGTGGACGGGGTCTAGGCCGGGGGCCTCGGGCCTTGGCCTGAACGAGACGAGGTGGGGCAGCAGGTAGAGGCATTCCTGCAGCCGGAATTCTGGAACACACCTGTTTTACAGATGAGGAAACTGAGGCCGGGAGGCCCCTTGACTGGCAGACGCTTGATGTCTCTCTCTAGCCTGAGATGCTTCCAGGAGGCCCCGTTTGGGGCTGTTGTAGCAACAAAGAGCACTCCCTACCTGTCTAGACCCCTCACCTACCCAGGCCACGCCTTCCTCTGGTCCTGCCCGGTTCCCAGCCCTGGTCTTGCTTGGTCCTCTGCACAGGAGGGAGACTGTATTTATGGAAAGACAATCCCTCCGTGAGCCCCAGGGCGGTGGAAAGCTGTGTCTAATGTGGCCCTAGAAGGCCTGAGCTGGTGGGCACACACAGGGCAGGAGGGTTCATCCCCCAGGAAGCTGTAGGTCATTCTGGAGACTCAACAGGCGCTGTGCTGAGGGACACAGATGTTTGTGCTTAGTCAGCAGTTAGCCGGTGCCAGCCTTGTCCTGGCTGTTTTCACACTCACACACTCAGGCTCACCGAAGCCTCTTCTTGTCCCCATTTTAAAGGCAGGAGACCAAGGCAGGAAGGTCTTGGTTGGTCTCCCCCCTCCACACACACACTGGGAACCTGTGGAACCATGGGGAGTAAGCCCACCATTAGACACTGCTATCCAGTCCACTCAGGAGAATCCCATTTTACAAGTGATCCCCCAGGCCTCACACAGTTAAGGTCACTCCCAACACCCCTCTCCCCCCATACCAGGGTTCAGTCTTGACTACCACAGGAAGCACCAGGGTATTTTGTTTTTGATGATATGTAAGAGATGGAGATGCTTAAAACTCCTGTCATGCGGCGGCCCAGAGCGGGCAGCCCCAGGTGGGGTCTTGGTAGCTGTTGGCCCCTCTGCCTTCCCTGACACTTGACACCTCCTTCAGGCACATAGGGCCCAAGCTACTAGAGCAGAACTGGCAAGTTGGCAGTCGGGCCCAGGAGGGAGGCACCCTAAGGCCAGCATCTGTTTTCAGTGTGGTCCTCTTGGCTGGAACTGGGAAAAAAATCTAATCTTGTCACGCAAAGAAAGTGATTTTTCTAAAGAAGAAAGAAACCCAGATTCGGGTGTGCCCACCATGGCTGTGGCAGGATGGCTCCTGGAGACCCAGATAAGGCTGCCCACTCCCCTGACAGATGGAACCCGGTTCTGCCCGTCAGGTCCGCCACATAGCAAATGGTCACATTCCTCAGGTCTGACTCTGCCCCTGCCCAGCCTTGTCCTTGAAGGATGGCTTTGTTGGGGTAGGGTGAGGTGCTACAGTGACTCAGGATTCTGATTTCATCTGGGAGGTGGCTCTGTAGACACCCTGGCTAGTAGGGTCCCCAGCCTGGCTGCCTGCTATGTATTTACTCTTCCTACTGTGACAGTGGAGGTCTGAATCAGCTAAGGTCTGAATCCAGGTTCTGAGGGAGGAAGTAAAGAGGTCCGGCTTGGTTCAAGTGCAGAGCCACAGTGAATCACTCAGGATGTATGTCCCACAAGGGTTTGGGCATCTTGCTTGCAGCATGGAGCCAGCTTGTGTCACTCCAACCCTCTGCAACTCCGGGGCTTTTGTGGCCTGAGAGCCCCACATGGTCTCGACACAGACTGGAAGAAGAACATAGTAATGACTCCTCCTCCCCGCCCCCCCACATTTTGGTCTTTTTGAGACAGGGTCTCTCTGTAGCCCCAGCTGTCCTGGAACTCACTGTGTAGATCAGGCTGGCCTTGAACTCAAGGCGTATACCACCACGCCCAGCTCCATAATGATTTCTTACATTATGCAGAGGACTCTGTGTTGCAAACCTGTGGAAGCTGGTCAGCACAGCCCCCCACCATGGCCACTGGTCTCTGAGGCCACTGAAGACCGCAGTGCCCCCTTGGGGAGTGTCCCTTCCCATGGCCGTGACTCTGGTGTGCAGAACAGTCCTGTTTCACGCTTGCTCAGAAGGCAGTAGACCCTGCAGGAAGAAGTAGACATTTTTTATTATGTGTATGAGTGCATTGCTTGTATGTATGTAAGTGCACCCATGTCTTGCAGTGCCTGAGGAGGTCAAAAGAGGGCGTCCAGTCGGATCCCCTGGAATTGGAGTTATAGATGGTTATTAGCCACGGAGCCCAGATCCTCTGCAGGAGCAGCCAGTGCTCTTAACCGCTGAGCCATCTCTCTAGCCCTGGAAATAGGGTTTTATAACTGCCTGTCACCTCAGAGGATCCGGTGATCCTTTGGTGACAGGGAGGTTTTTATGTCTCCAAGCCCCAAACTCTGTTATGCAAACAGTTGACTGATACCTGAGGTTCTAAAAGGACTGTAAACAGCCCAGTTATTCCAAAGGAAGTTGAAACTTCGCACCCTGCAAAGGTGTGAAAGATGGAAGGGGGGGGGTGGCGGCTAGCCTCTGCCCTTCTGCCTAAGGGTGAGCAGGGGGTGCCCTCCCCTCACCCAAGGTGAGCAGCCGCCGGGCTAGCCTGTCACTGCTCTCTGTCACTGTCCTGGGTGAGCTGCCGACTGGAGGACCCTTGACCTCACACGCCGGCGGGTGTCAGGGATCTCCTTTGAGACCGGCTCCAGTACCTAAGAAGGAGGGCTGTCCCTCACACAAAACAGCTAATAATCAGAATCAGAGAATTTAGCATTGACCCCCACACCACCACCTAGGACACTTTTTTTCCCCCATTTTCATGGATGTGTGGTGTACGTGCATGGTTGTGCGTGTGCGTACATGGTGGGGTGCGTACACGGCGGGGTGCGTACACGGCGGGGTGCGCACATGGCAGGGGTGCGCACAGAAGCTGGAGGTTGATGTCCAGTTATCACTCTTCCACCTCATTGACGCAGGGTCTCTCAATCAAACCCAGAGCTCACCGATATGACTAGGATCATCAGCTTGCTCTGGGGATCCCATCTCCACCTTTGAGGCTAGAATTACAGGTGATCCGCCACTCCCCGGGGGTTTATGTGGGATCTGGTCCTGTTGCTTCCAAGGAAGCAGGTCCCACTGTGCTGGCTCGCCTCCCTCTTGGCCCCCACCACTTTGACTGGACCTTTCTGGCATATTTTATACCTGTTCCAGGCATGACTAAGTGCAAGGACTTGAACGGGCTCATTGCTCTTTGGGCTCTGGCTCAGGTGTGTTGTACTCTTGAATGTCTGAGACCAACTCCCATCAGACAGAACAGAAGGGACAGGTCTCCAGATGAGAGCGCACCCTGCACGTGCCCCTGGTGCAGTCTGTGTGGCTATGCTCTGGTCGATGTGTAGACAGTCCTGACCTTGGGCACTCACCCCCGATAGGGAACCAAGGACAGACCCACTGGGTGAACCCATGAATTTACTAGGGTTACTTACAGGGTATGGGTGAGGGGTGACTTGCAGAGACAGCTGCATCACCAAAGCCCAGCCCAGCATGGGTGACAGCTCAGGAGAGCAGGAACCCTGGACGCACTGCATGGCTTGAGACAGCTCCAAGGCCTGGCGAGTCCCCTCCTCCCAGCAGTCACCACCCCTTACTGTTATAGAACCTTGGGAAAGGAGGGCCCTGTGCATCTGGTCAATTTCAGGACTTCTGAGACTTGTGAATTGTTTATTTCCTGACTCTAAGGAGCCTCCCTTTAGAACTTTTGAGTCTTGGAGCTGGAGAGATAGCTCAGCAGTTAAGAGCACTGCACCACCACATGGGGACCGACAGCTGTCAGTCACTCCAGCTCCAGGGGATCCGACGCCCTCTTCTGACCTCTTCGGGCAATGCATAATACAGGTGCACTTACACACTCATACACATAAAATAAAGATAATAAAAATATTTAAATAATTTTTAATGTAAAAAACTTTGTGAGTCTTAACAAACTTCCCTCCAGATGAAATGTTTCAGTTTGGAGGGAATTGGTAGACAACTCAGCCACCGGACCACCGGCCACCCTCCATGGCCTCACCACATAGCCAGACTCAGAGCTGGGCACACAGGTGGTTCCCATCAGCCTCTCAAAGGTGCTGAGACCCTCCAAGATGAGTCTTCTGTTCCCAGAAGGATGCTGCTGAGCCTTACAGGCCTCTGTGGGTCAGGGCTGAGGCCAGCTCTGTGGCTCCCAATAAACTGGTAGCCTTGGGCCACTGACACCACCTCTCTGATCCTTTATTTCCACATCTGTGAAACAGGATGGTCACAGCACCTGGAGGATGAGCTGTCAGGGGTGTGAGGTGACTCCCCTCCCCCGCCTGCTGCCGTGTGTATTGATCAGTTGCTTAGAGTTCTGAGGGCCCATTAGAAGCAGGAAGGTCAGGGCCTATGCATTCTAATTCCCCATGGACTGGGAAACAGCTCTTTATAACCCTGTTCACTTCAACTCCAAGAATCTGCATCAAGAGGGTCACGGGCTGGGCTGTGACTCAGGAGAACTGCAGGTACCTGTGATCAAGGCCCTGGATTTGATCCCCAGCACCACAATGAAGGAATGAAGTTGACGAAGTTATTGACTGAAGACTTTGGGCGGGGTGGGGGTCACCCTGGAGGCTGACCATCGTGCCGCAGTCCCTAGAAAGGAAAGGCTTCGGTGGTGTTTCCACACCCTCAGCCCCGGCCAGTCTCACCTTGAACATCACCAGCCGGCAGCCCCACCACACCACCTTTTTCCAGGGTATCTAACTTTCCTTCCTTCAGCACAGATTCAGCCCAGATATGGTCAGCAGGCACTGTGACCTCACAGCTGGCTTGCCCAGCCACTGCTTCCTGTAGTGCATCCAGCCGGTCAGGGTGGGGGCCTGGCAGCATGTGGCCAGTGGCAGCGGCTGCCCCTCCCTGAGCAGTCTCCTCTCTCCACAGGCCGGCAGAAGTGACACTATGGGGTTGAAGCTCTCTTGTCTGAAAGGTAAGGCAGAAACTAGGGGCCTGGAGGCTTGGGGGTGTGGGGGAGCAAAGAGGTGGAGGCTAGAGTGGAGAAAGTAGAGGGGGACCCAGATTCTTGGGGTGCTGTTCTGGAGCTATGGAACCTTGTTTCTCAAGGGCGCTCTATTTATAGGTGCTCTATAAATGCTTGATCTGCCTCTGCACCCTCCTCTCAGGCCTTTCTTTACCAGCAGTTGGCAACAGGGGAATGGTACAGTGCCCATGTGCCTCAGTTTCCCCCTCAGAGTGACAATCCCAGAAGAGTATGGTTGGGCATGGTGGCATATACCTTTTAATCCCAGCACTCGGGAGGCAGAAGCAGGTGGATCTCTGTGAGTTCAAGGCCAACCTCTACATAGTGAGTTCTAGGACATCTGGGGCTACAGGGAGAACCTGTCTCAAAAGACAAGGAAAGCACTGGAGGCCTATGGCACAGGAGGCCTATGCAAGAAGTCAGACTCAGCTGGGGGAGGGGTCGTGTTGCCTCCCCAGATACCCAGGATGTGTCACCCAAGCAGGTGGTCTAGCTTGGCTGGGAAAAGACCAGCAAGGAGTTGTAAAGGGTGCAGACTCCCTGAGGGATGGAGGTGGCCTAGGCCTCTCTCCCTAGTCCAGCTGGAACCTGAGGCCACAGGGCCCTCAGGGGGGATTCCTCCTGAAGCCTGCCACCTCCCCAGTGCTCTGCCCTGTCACACAGGCACAGTCCCCACACTCATCTCCCAGTTGTAAGGTCTAGAGCTGCTGTGGACAGCCCTACCGCAGGCCTGCTACTACCGGACTCATGGTTACCAAACTTGCCATGGCTCCATCAGTCCCTAGAGCCTATGCAAGCCACAGGGCCACAATAGCCTTGGTCCTCGCTGGCCAGTGTGTTTTCCATGCAGCAGCTGTCAGACGCATGCATGCTCAGCTGCTGGTCTGCCTGCCGGCTCCCCACCCTGCCCACCTCAGGCTCCCCTCTTCCAGTCTGCCTTCCTTGCAAGGACTCAGGGGCCTCTTGACCTCTGAGGTCTACCCGCTCTGTGCCCTGGCCTCACTAGGACACCTGAGCCAGGGCCTCCATTTCCTTGTCCCTAAAGCTGGGTGGAGATGGTCCATGTGGGGCTCAGGAATGCCGGGAACTGGCACTCAGGCTTCCCCTGGGGGCCCAGCCCTTGTGATGATTCCATCTTCTCCCCTCCCTTCCTCTTCCCTCCCCTCCCCTCCCTTCCCCTCCCCC